TTTACCACAAGCAGTGACAGCTCTGCTCTCGTCTGTATGCAGAAGGTGCTGAAGCTGGTTAGAGCTTGGAGCTGCAGGCAGCCATGTGTCTCGGCTCCCAGCCACAGAGGCATCATGTGTTTGTCCAAGCAGACGGTGTCACAACTTCAAAAGCACCGTTTTAAATTTAAACTGTTAATAGCTGCCATATGCTACATTTCTCCCAGATTTCTTTGCAGAACCTCTCCAGCTCCATCAGCTTTATCAGGCCTGTGCAGAGATGTTCAGTGGGGCTCACTGGGCTCCTGATGGGTCACTCAAAGACAGCATGGTCCCAAAGTCACTCCTTTGTTAGGGTTAGAGCGATTAATTCAGAAAGGGCTGAGTCAGGGAGGTGACCAAGAACCCGATGATCCCTCTGACAGAGCTCCGGTGTGGCTTTGTGGAGAGAGGATAACATCAATCAGCCCTGAAGTGGCCAGACAGAAGCTGCTCCTCGGTTAAAGGTTCATGACAGCCCACTGGGAATTGGCCAAGTGTCACCTGAAGGACTCAGACCACGAGAAACTGAAGTGTGTGGTCTGATGAAACAAAGACTGAACCACACAGCCAAGATAACAAAGGAGTGACAGGAGCCCAGTGAGCCCCACTGAACGTCTCTGCACAGGCCTGATAAAGCTGATGGAGCTGGAGAGGCTCTGCAAAGAAATCTGGGAGAAATGTGCAGAAATAGACACACCAGGCCCGCGGCGTCGTACTCATACTGCCAAAGGTGACTCAACAACGTTTCGAGCAAAGGCTTATGTGCGTGTTACATTTGTTTTTTTATTTTTAATAAATCTGCAAGAATTTCAGCTTGTGTTACTTTGTCCTTCTGAGGTCTGATGTGAACACTGAGTGTAGTCCACTGTGGAGCCTGTAACATGGCAGCGCTGTGATGAACGCTCTGCAAGCAGAAACAAAGGTGTTGTTACCTGGCCTCCAGTCGAGTATACAGCTGGGTGTTGTCTGTGCGCAGGACAAAAACGATGTCGAACCAGCGCTCGGGGAACAGGTCGCAGCCGTGATAGTCCACGATCACGCCTCCGTCACTCATCTTTTCATCCAGCTCATCCACCACCTGCAGAACACCAACAAGCTGCAACACTGACGCTCGATGCACTCGCTCAGTCTACCTGTTAGCAAAACGTTTGTTTTTCTGCAAGCAGCAAAATTCTGCTAGAAAGAATAAACAGAAATCCATCAACTTAGTGGGGAGGTGGCTGTGAGAGGGGAAAGTATCAAAGTGTGCTGTGGCAGAATATCCAGACGTTTATCATTTATGTAATAATGATATTTAATAAAGCTCAGCACATTAACAGCTGTGAACACATTCACAGGCCCTCTTTCTTCCCCTGCTTTAATGATGGAGAGAAATGTGTCTCCAAAAGGCTGCAGATGCTTACAATGTGCTCCACAGGCGTAAACTAAGACGTACACATGAACACACACAAATAAGAAGCAATCATTTTACAAACGCATCCACCTGATCATTTATGCACAGTTATTACCTTCAGCTCACAGATCTGATCATTTTCTCTTTCACCTTCCTGCTGCTGGTCTGTGGGTTGTTGTCAGACTGTGTTTGTGCTCATTGTTGGGCATTAAAAAAAGTGGTTTGGATTTTCAGGAAGGAGTCGCTCTCATGACTCATCAAGTGATGTCACTGACTGAGTAACTGGTGGGATGCTCTTTGAAAAAGTAGTGTAACAGGGTCATAAATCACATTGTTATAATTACACAAACCGTTCCTTTTATACCTGACTTTTAGGACCTCCAAGCCTGTAGTTATGTTCATTATCAGTTAGAGCCCCTCCTCAT